TTCCTTGTGGGCGTCCTTCCTTAAAGAGCACGGCTCCTCCACCCTCCAGCTGGATGTTTCTTTCTTGTGCTTTCCCTCCTAATTGCGTCTTTTGTCTGACATTCAAAGACACCAGTTATGTAGAGCAAGGACCTCATAACTCGTCGTCTGTGCTTGCTCCCCCTCCCCAGGTGCACACCCCAGCATTTTGCAGCCTGGCTACAGGGAGAAAGCGACTGCCACAGCCAACACAAGGACATGGTTCGTACCAGGTCTCTTCCTAAGCAGTCCGGTTCAGCTCAGGCTACGTAGCCACTGCGTGGGCTATAGGTCCAAGACAGAAATTCCCCTCTGCCGTGAATGAGCCTGGGTTGTGTGGGAATTGCACCAGCGTTCGTTTATCTCTTATACGAATGTTGTGGATGGAGATCCGCAAGGTTGTTATGAGAAACAGCCAAAGGAGCAAGTCTTACGGCAGCAGGGTGACCCTATTTTGGCTGGAGAATGCAGAATAAACAGATAGATGGTTTCTACACAGAATTTTGAAGGCCACGGTGCCCGGAGTGAGACCTTTTGCTTCCTTATCTGTGAAATGAATATTAAAGTTGACATCCCTAAATGTGCTAATGAGCTGGAAGGAGTACATGCTAAACATACACGACTATAGTACTTGACTCTCCACCCAAATCATGTTAAACATCACCCTGGGGAGGGGACAACTGAGGTTGGGTTATAAAGGACATTGAGGAAGTTACCCCCTGGGGGGAAAGAGAAGAAACTGCGGACCCCAAAGAGGCAGTTGATGGGCTGTGCTCCTTCTCCTCCACCCAAGACAGGGATGCCTTCTTGGTAAGCATTGCGCTTTCACCTTTTTGGTGACAATAACAGAATAGTATTTTGCTAGTAGTATAATTACAATCATAGTCATATATTAGCGCTATTGCAGTAAGTGCATTTATCAACGGCAATTCCAAACTCTTTATGTCTGTCACTTCAATCAACTTTCTATTAGTTTCAACTTTGCGAAACTGAGTCAGTGCAAGTTCTTTGGGGGGCTCTGGCGGGCAAACCTTGACTCTGGTGTGTGGCTATATATGAATCTCATCCTTTAGACGTGAACCGTTGACCAAGTCTGGGACTAAGACTGGACCTAGCCGCACCTAGGCTCCTCTCTAAGAAGGAGTTTAGAAAGCAAGGGGGTCCTTTCTGAACCTCGTGACTCAACGGGAGGGCCTCCCTCAGCCACACATCAGCCTTTACCTTTTATGCGACCGGTTGCAGGACGATGAAGCACGGCAGTCTGCTGGTGTGGGCTACTCGTGACTGGGGACACCTCTGCCATTGTGAACATAGCCCAGGTATGTGAATAATATGGTCAAGCACTGCATTGGCCTTTTACCACAGCAGCGGAATTTCCCCCTTCAGTTGACCCTCACACAATCTATCACATCCCAGTAAAAATATTTTGTCTTCAGTCCCAGAATACCAGTGCTCCCCGTTGTGTCAGCACAGGCACACGCGTACTGGATCATGGCATCAGTTTTTGTCCTGCACACTTGGGCTGATCCCGCTGAGGCACTCTCCTCCCCAGGCTCGGGAGGTACTAGTCCATAGTGCAGTGACTGATGAATGTGTTGGGCATTTATTTTTTTAACCTCTTTTTTTTTTTTTTTTTTTTAGGGTGTCTAAAAGCAGAATTTCTGTGTTACCCACTAAATGTCAGTGGTAACGATCCCTTGACAAGCCGAGTGGCAGCTGAACCAAAGTGCCACAAATCCAGGAATGATCACCCCTGCGGGTTACGAATGGTGGGAGATACTTGGGGCTGGTGGTTATTTTGGCACCTTTCATCAGTATTGTCCTTCATAATCTACACCTGGCTCCAGGACTGGCTTAAAAAAAAATAAAAAATACCCTTTTCAGAGGATTCTGCATAATGGACAGTTGGGTTGGCTACCCAATGGATGGGGCAAAACGCCAGGGCTAAAACTAAGGAGAACTGTAATTTCTATAAACGTGTGCGCCCTAAAACATACCAGCCCTAATGTCTTTTTACCTCGAAATACATGAGTCTGGGATAAAGACCTCTCTGCCAGGGCTGGCTGAGGTCATTGCATTTTGGGTTGTGACCTATGTAACGTAACTGGGCCAGGTATCGTTCGGCCTTAGCCATGGTACCGGTGGGTTAAACCCTAGAGATGCCAGCTCGGGGATCAGCTCTGTGACTCTCCAACACAACTGGTGTGGCGGCCAGTGCTTTATGCCCTTTTCAACCCCCCCAGCGATAGATCTTGGTGCCCTCCACCCTGTTTACACTACAGAATTAACGTGCAATTTTGTGCTAGAGTACAAGTAGCTTACACACCCACCCCGCCAAAAGCTGGCAAGTACTAGCCTCACCAAAGTGTTGAGCAATGCCACACAATTTCCATATCCTACTGCAGGTACCACCCCCCCCCACCCAGACAGCATTCAGCCCTCCACTTCCCACAGATCTCCATGCACTTTTAATAATAATATTTTTTTAAAAAGCAAAACAACCCTTTCAATAATAGTATAGTTCTGCATAGCCATTTGGGAATTGCTCTAGGGCTAAAGCATCACCTAGCACTCACTGCAGCATTCCTGATATCATTTTGATTTATGGTAACTTTGGGAAATTTTTATAGTGCAACATACTTTGATCTTTTAAAATAAAAAGAGCATTTCTTGTGTGGCTCACTATCTTTATTCCTCTGCCGGTCTCCGATCTTACCTGCCAAACCCCAATTTTTACATTGGTCGACCAACATGTGGAGTGCACCAGGTTATGGAGTTGCTAGAGGCGTATGCCTTGTGTTTCACTAGCAGTTTAGCACATCTGCGTCTTCAAACGAAGAGAAGCTGTTGGTATTGGACAGTGGGATCGAGTGCACCCTCAGCGAGGCTGCTGACACCACCAAGCTGTGTGGTGTGGTCGACACCCTGGAGGGAAGGGATGCCATCCAGAGGGACCTTGACAGGGTGGAGAGGTGGGCCCTTGCAAACTGCATGAAGTTCAACAAGGCCAAGTGCAAGGTCCTGCATGTGGGTTGGGGCAATCCCAAGCACGACTATAGGCTGGGTAGGGAATGGATTGAGAGCAGCCCTGAGGAGAAGGACTTGGGGGTATTGGTTGAAGAGAAGCTCAACATGAGCCGGCAGTGTGCGCTTGCAGCCCAGAAAGCCAACCGTGTCCTGGGCTGCATCAAAAGAGGTGTGACCAGCAGGTCGAGGGAGGTGATCCTGCCCCTCTACTCTGCTCTCATGAGACCCCACCTGGAGTACTGCGTCCAGCTCTGGGGTCCCCAATACAAGACAGACATGGAGGTGTTGGAGCGGGTCCAGAGGAGGGCCATGAAGATGGTCAGAGGGCTGGAGCACCTCTCCTATGAGGACAGGCTGAGAGAGTTGGGTTTGTTCAGCCTGGAGAAGAGAAGGATCTGGGGGACCTTATTGCAGCCTTCCAGTACCTGAAGGGGCCTACAGAAAATGTGGAGAGGGAGTGTTTACAAGGACATAGAGTGACAAGACAAGGGGGAATGGCTTTAAACTGAAGGAGGGTCAATTTAGATTGTATGTTAGGAAGAAATTCTTGACTGTGAGGGTGGTGAGGCACTGGAACAGGTTGCCCAAAGAGGCTGTGGCAGCCCCCTCCTTGGAAGTGTTCCACGCCAGGGTGGATGGGGCTTTGGGCAACCTGGTCTCATGGAGGGTATCTGTGCCCACAGCAGGGGGGTTGGAACTAGATGGGCTTTGAGGTCCCTTCCACCACAAACCAGTCTATGAGTCTATTACCCTGTCAGGGAGGATAGTGTTTCCTGGTAACTCTTTACCATGCCCTCCAAATTAGGTTGTTGCTGGAGACCTCTCCCTTCCTGACTGTTTTAGGGCAGGTTGCCACCTAGCTTTTTGGAGCGGGAGGTTTTGTTCCTCAGTAATCTTCCCATGCTCACTTGGGGCATTCTTCACATCCAGAGAGAGATCTCCATCACTTCTCTCTCACTTTGACCATAACACTATGGAAGCATTAGTTGTATATCAGCAGAGACTGCTGGCTATCACAAATAAGACTCGGAAAGCAGACTAGATCTAGTTAGTATTGCTGATAGAGACTACTCAAAGCATCATTTTACTTTTTGTCCCCTTTCATCCTGGAAAGAAAGAGCAGTGAGTATGCTAGGTTTGTACATGAGTGAAGCTGGAAAAACCTATATAGTCACTGCATCAATTGTCACTTTTCATACAAAACATTTATTTTAGAAAGTTGCATATAAAGTCCTACACAGGACAGTTACTATTTCTACAGTAAAAAAAAAAACCCCAAAAACCCCCTCAAAACAAAACCAAATTAAAAATCCAGCTCTGTCATTCAAATGGTAAAAGGGTTGCTCATTCTCAACAATCCACAATTAACAGACCTCAGTGTGCATTTTGGTAGAACACCATGGACAAACTGCAGAAGAGTTCATTAGAGAAAAAGGTTCTAGATGTACATATTTACATTGTTATCTAACACGTGTACTTTTTACCACCATGACCGCAGAATTCGTTAGGTCTTGGAATGGATGTCATCCTCTACCATTTCCGTGCTGACATGGCTATTTAGGCTGCATTACAGAAGCAGCTGGTTTTACAGAAAACTTTTTTTAATGGGCTTGGTCCATTGCTAATGCCCTGGCACTGTCCCAGAAAACTGCAGGAGGGTTTGATCAGTTACTGATTCCCCATGGACAAGGCTGAGGATAGCAGACACTGTGTAAAACACCTCCCCGCACCTCATCTTCTGCTCTGAGGAGAAACACAAACTGAGGAAGGATTCCCTTCTAGTCAGAGGGTGAAAGAGTTTTTGGACTGAAAGCTGCCTGTAAGAAATTTTAAATTTGGATAGTGATTGTCTGAAGAAGTCATTTAAAATCATCTAAGCAAGTTCTGCTGTCAGATTTACATTAGCTCTTCTTACCCCACCATGTTTCTGAGGGAAGAATTCCATTCTTCAACAGGTATAAAGTTCAATTTCTAAACTTCTTAAACAAAGCAAAAGCAGATGGCTCAGTATATAAATATATCCAGCATCTGGATTCTCAGTCACAAAAATATCATCCTTTATACAACAGAAAATGGATCAACTATGAAGCAATTCTCCGTTGGTCTTGAGATCCAACATCTTCATCAACAGTTTCATTTTCATCCTCTTCATCCTCTTCATCTTCTCCCACTTCTCCATCTCGCTTCTCTTTTTCAAGCATTTTTAGGTATTTGCTAGCTAGGATCTTCTTTGGCAAGATATCTGGAAGGTAGAGTTGTTTCTTTTATAGTCAGTTTGAGCGCTTATATTGCCTCATTAATACTGTTACATCTGTACCACCAATGAAATGAAGTCGAAAAGAGGCTTTGTTAAAAACATTATTATTTAAGTGAATAACCAAATAAGTTAGTCTGACCTGTACAGCTGTAAGGAGAAGAGGGAATTACCCACTTATGGTAAAAGTAGCCAAAGCTAAGGAATATATTTTATGACTGATTATTGGCAACTGTCTTCACTATCTGCTCACGTACATTATTTATTGGATATAAAATACAGCACTCAATTACTCAACTGCCTTAGATTCAACAGGACAGCTATCCCATTTATGTCCTGTAGAAACAGGTTTTCTGCATTAAGGTAAGATACTTGTTCAGGGCAACAATGACGGAATGAGACAAAGCAAACTGCGTGCTCTGAAAGTATGTCCACAGGGAACGTGGAGAAACACTAGGCTACGAATATCTTCTTCTCAATATATATCCTATGCCAATACCTTTTCTGAGCTAAGTGTTACAACAAAGATCCAAGTATCAGTAAAAAGTGTGTGCACATGCACATATGTACATATATATATAGAGAGAGAACCCATATGATGAATCACTTTTTGAGAAACAAGCCCTACAGATTTAAATGTGTAATTTTGGGGCAACGTAACTTCTCACATTAAGATGAGTAGTGATCTTGTTTTATAGGCTGAAAGCTTTCAGGTGGACTTGCTGGAATTTCAGAAATGCTTAAGGCAATATGCTGAGAACTAATTAGACTTCTATAATTTTGAAGCACCAAAAAAATCCCTATTCACAAAGAAATGTTTTCAGTGATGTAGTTTATAAGTTCCAGTTGAATGTTATATAGGAGATTAATGACCAGTAGAATCGTGCTCCCACAAAACAAATCAATAAGAGCAAGATTTTGTTTTGCAAATTATATACTGGATTTACCATCATGCTATAGATACCTGCAAGGAATTGAAAGGTCTCACACTCTTCTGCAGTATGAGACAGGTCACTGTAAGTCAGAGCGTTCTTCTCTTTGCCTCTGCCGTGTTTGTAGGAGTATGTCGCCAAATACTGAACAAAAAGCTCCTAAAAAATTAAAAGAGAATAGTCAAACTATGAATTCACACATATAGTTGGCAGTTTTCCTTAATCCCTGTTTAAAAACACAAATGCCATATTTAAGCGTACATATATCGGACACTTTATGGAGAGACCCACTTATGACAGAAGAGCTAAGATGAGAATATAGTTGCATCTCCTTGGAGCCCCAACTGCAGGTTTGGGTTCTGGTACGTAACTTAATTTGTGTGGCTCTTCAACACTTTCCACAGCCCAGTAAATGACACTTGGGATCAGAAAGCAGCAGGGGATCATTTCCACACGGGCTAATTTATACAAATTGACAGTGGTGAAAATAAGAACTTCCTGCATTCCTCACAGACTCTGCGAGCTCAGCTGGACGAGACGACTCCCCAAACCCCCTTTTGCATAGTGGGGGCCTGAAGCGTGGTGCTTCATGGCCGCCGAGTGACAGACACAGGTAGGAGGGGAAGGGAAGTGCGGTAGGAGCCGCTCGCCGCGGACGAGGTCAGCACTGACACAGCGCGGCTGCGGCCGGGGTGCCCCAGCAGCGCGGACTGGAGCGACGCGGGAGCCGAGCCCGGAGGCAGC